CATTCACTCATATTGGATTGACAGTTCTGTGCTGAACTTAAAACTCATGTTGAGTAAATCTTAAGTCCTGAAGCTGCACTGTAAAAAATCAAAAGTTGAGAAAACTCAAAAAAATGCTGAAGCTGGTTGCCTTAAACCTTTAAGTTTTCTCAACTTTTGCTTTTTTACAGCGACTTCAACTATCAAGTTTTGTAAACTTAAATTTCTAAATGATAAAAACTCCATATTTCTAGCCAACTAAACACAAAATCGGAAGTTTAACTAAAAGTTTGCTTGACTTAATATATTATGTTGATTAAACATGCACAAAAGTTTGTACAACTAATTGGCCTTTAAGTTGAGTAAACTCAAAAATCTGCTGAAGCTGGTTGCCTTAAAATTTTAAGTTTGCTCAACTTCTGATTTTTTACAGTGTAGTCATTTACACTGCTGAGAGAAAACACAACTCACAATTACTTCCAGCATTTTCAAGGGTAGCTACACTTGCAGGGGGTCACTTTATTTGAGTCAGAATGTGAGATCTGTTAGAAGGAATTGCTGTGATAATGTACTGGAATTATACTGGAACCTCTAATTCCAGTCCAACATTACACATAACCAATTTCCATGGCCAGTTCAGATTACTTTCTGACACTTATTATGAAGAATTGATAAGTGCACGTTACTCCAAAGAGATTTCTGAATGCCTCAACTTTGCTGAAGTCACCAAGATTTATTTTCCTCTTTTTTTTTTTTTTCATTAGTCTCTTCACTTTGGAGACAACTTTTCACAATTCAATCAATTCTCAATGGATAAAATAATTGCTCTACATTTCTCATAAACACATAAAAAAAAATAAAAGAAATTGCCAATGCCATTTCATGCTGACATTTTGAATAGACCATACTATTCTTATACCATTTATAATACACATTCCCCCAAATTATTATCACTGTGCATGTTGTTTCTTAGAAAAATGGTGAAACGTTAACCAAGCCTTTTTATGTTTCCAATAGATTTTTCCTTTGACTGATTCCTCACATTTTTTTCTGAATGGGTTACGAACAGCTTTTCATGTTAACTTTGAATAGCTGAAAAAAAATCTAATGTGAGTCATATTTTAATAAATATGATGGGCCTGGCTATGCTCTTCTCCATCATTTGAGGAATAACTGCTGCCATCATCAATAAAAAATATACACCAGCATCTCTTCTAAAGGAAATTCTGTGCTTTCCGTGGCTGGTAATAGTGCAATGGTAGTTGCGACAGGCAAATAGTGCTATATGGAATAAATAGTATTGCAAATAAGGTGCATTATAGTGAATAAGTGGCACAATGTGTTTAGTGAATTACTATTTGTCAGCACCATATAAAACTTCTGCAAGAGGTTATAGAAAACTGAATAGTGGATGGATAGCAAAGGTTCAGGCCGTTTACCTGAGGACACAGGCTATCGATCTGTGTAGCAGCCATGCGCACTAACTTCACACCCTCCTCGTTGTTGGAGATGGAACAGGCGAGGTTGGCCACCTAAAAAAAAAAGAGTGAGAGAGCGATATATTAGGGGGTCATTTGTACATCGAGGTTACAGTATAAAGCAGAGGTGGGACCAAGTCATTGTTTTGCAAGTCACAATTAAGTCTCGAGTCTTTGCATTCAAGTCTCGAGTCAAGTCCCGAGTCAAGACAGACAAGTCCCAAGTCAAGTCCCGAGTCAAGACAGGCAAGTCCAAGTCGAGTTGCAAGTCCTCAGCTTTAAGATTCAAGTCTTAAACAAGTCATTAGTGCTTTTTGCCCAAGTGACCTTGCGGTTCTGGTTGCCAGTTTTCTGTAAATCAGGCAGGTTAAACTAGCATTTGGACATGGACAAATAAAGCACCCGAGCTGAGTGCACACATATACAAACACACAGTCCGTTTTGCTGTTCATGTTTTAAGCTATCAGTGCTGTGTGCAATGGATAAGGATTTAATGCTTGGCTTGAGAAGGCAATGTCAGGGCAAAATATGTACAGAGAGTTAGGGCTCATTCAAGTGTTAGATTGGTATTTGTTATTTCCCAGCGTGAAGAACATGATTTGTGGGTCCCTCATCCCCTATGCTCCCCCGGCCCCAAATCATCTCGCCTTGCTCTCTCTTTTAATATTTTAAAAATAGCTTCTATTTGAATAATTGACATCACACACACTGCAATTTGAATTTTTACCAGCCAATCTCCTGGACATATTAGAGGTTGCCTCTTCATGTTCTCCTCTGAAGCAACAGAAGGACTGTGGTTCGTTCGTGTGCGCCATAGAGGCTCCCATCTCGAAAACACAATTACCCCGAAAATGTCAGTGGACACGGAGAGGGGTCCTAATTGGAGGTTGCCACAGTTCTGTTATTCACTCATAAAAGTAGTCATTTTTCCATCTGAAATTTCCACCACAAGCACGTTGGTGGAATAACCAGGGTTCATTACTGAACTTCACATGCACATGTAAATCATTAGGCCAGTCTACCTAGAAAAAAAAAAAAGAGAGAGAAAAAGTGTAATTAAACTAGCAGATGGCTCCTCTATGTGCAATACCTCCTTGTCTAATTTCTGCCTGCCTGCAACCCTCAGGTTACCCATCATGCAGTGCATCTGGCAACGCCGGATCGGTGCATACATGTGAATACACGTGTGTGATGAGAAAAGGTCTCTCTCTCTCGTGTTTGCTCGCTTCCATCATAAGAAAAGCATCTGCGCAAGGAGCGCTGGCCAGATCGGACGCTAAAAACCTGGCTGCCTCCCCCTCCCCTGCTGCCAAAAATGTCGGATCCGACAGAAAACATCGGAATATTACTCAGAAAGTGTATAATTTGGTGACACGTCAGACCTCGATGAAAGGCGCTAATAGGCGTGTCAGTCCTGTTTTGATAACACTCCAGAATTGGTGTTACAAGCATCTCGTCCTCTGCTGGTAAATCAGATTACACAGCAGCCACGAGTAAGGATTTTGACGGCGCTAAACTGACATATGCCTGCTGGCAAATGCAATATGACTGAAGCCGTATCAGCGGGCGTCTCTTCTTTTTTTTAAAAGGTAAATCGCGGCAAATCAAATTTGTGTTAGAAGATTCTTGCTTACAGCCCTTTTCTCCTGTTTACCCCTGACAGCTCTGAATGCTTTGATGGATCGCTCTTGCGTTCAAGTGTGTGCTTGCATGTGTGTGTGTGTTTAGCTGCTGCTAAAAGTGTAAAGACTGAAATGCTTGAGGGTTGCAAATGATGATGTGTGCATAAGAGTACCAGTGGGGGGAAAAAAAAGAAAAAAAAAGGATTCATTGATGCATCAAGATTCTTTCTCAGATGATTCTTGATTGATTCACAAAAATTCATCAAATCATAATTATTAATAATTATTTTTTAATGCAGCATAGAGGCAACATGTGTTTACAGATCCCATTAGAGAGACACAATGTACCACATGCTTGGAAGCTTGTGTTTTGGAACTGAATTGAATGAAACTCTCTGATTCATGTGATGCCTAAAATTCCCACCCTAATATGAGAGAAGAGAGACTCTTTTCCACTGACATGATCCCACCTTAATAAGTCGTTCTCTTAAAAAGTACTGAAGTACCCATTCAAAAAGTACACCTTTGTTCCATATTTACTCCTGACGGGAGTATATTAGTACCCCGAAGGCACATTTTTGTACCTAAAGTGTACATATTAATAACAAAAGTATACATATTTGTACCTTTTGAAAAATACCTCCCTAGAGACAGCTTTTGTAATTTTTTTTTTTATTTATTTTTTTTCCGTCCATACCCATGGTTTCCCACTGCCAGGTCCACCTTGCAATTTAGAGGTGGAGTCAGGCCTAAATGGAAGTGGGCACCAGTTCCACCACCTTGTCGGTAGAAAAAGGGGCATGAGACAGCAGCATAAAAGACCGGATGGGAAGGTAGGGGGTTGTTTTATACACCAGGATGGCAGTGTAAGACTCACAGCGTTTGCAGGAAATGATATCCTGTCATGTAGTTGGGCTGTTGCTTCCCTTGATCCTCACTAGTCCTTCATGGTCTGAACACACAGTCAAACCAGCAGCAGCTCCTGGACGGCAGCCAGAACTGGCCGATGCTCCAGCACTCAATTCTCAGAGCTGGATCCCAGCCAAGACACAATGTCCGGCCAAAAATACTAATTGCAATTATCTAAAGAACCACTCCTCCTTTGTGAATCCTTTTTATTTTCTCAAAGAAAAGGCCCCTGTTAGGTAGCCAAGGATGTCAAAATAATATTCATGAGTTTCATGCTAGGTTGAGATAAGAGTGTGTGTGCGTGTGCATTGCATGTTCGATTATTTCAGAGAAAGAGACAGCATCATAACCGTGTAGTCTCTCTGACTGACCATTATGTGTTGTCTAGTTAGACCTTTATTAAAGAACTATTGATTTCTGAGCGTTTCATTTGGACAGCCACATTCAGAGTATCAGCCTTACCCTTGAATAGTTCTTTAATTAAATAAATAAAATAATAAATAAAATGAAGGAAATACTACATATTCGATACATAGAAGAAGAAGATGAATGAATTAATGAATGAATGTTCCAAACATGTTTGTTTCAAAACGTAAACTGCCTATATTAGCTATATTTTGGCATATTCAAAAGCAGCATAACATGTACCCACTGAGGAGAAGGCAATACCAGAAAAAAGTATAGTTAATGTTAATTAAAAACTAAAATGAATACTCAGTTGTGTCAATTGAATTGTGTCAATTTAAATAAATCTTAACTAAAATAGAAATATTAAACGAACAATTCTGTAACCTTGGCAACTAACTGAAATAAGTGTAAATTTCAGTTACTAAAATTAAAACTGAAATAAAAGTAAAGTTAAACAGAATGAAAACAAACCTAATAAAAATGATAATCCCATGAAAATACGTTAATTCACAATATTAATAAAAAATAAACAAAGTGATAGAAATATTAATTATAAATGTACTTGTAATTATTTTAATACAAATATCAATAATAAAAAAAATAAAAAATAAACAGTTCAACCAAACTGATTTTCTCCAATTTTGTGGGTGCAGTGTGTTTTTAATGCATACGAGTGTTGCATTATAGTAGCAAACACTGTCGGAATCAAGTTCAGGTCAAGGCTTCTGTGCACCACACATTAGGAGCATTAGTATGGCACAAAGAGTTATTTGATATGTAGAACATTTCAAATCGGTCTTTATGAGGTTCCATTAAGGTTTCAACATACAGTACGAATGCAGATGACTAGCTCATGGAACAGAGTCACTGCCTCCTCTCTTTGTGGACATTAAATCATTATTTCAGACACCTCAGCACTTCTTGTTGGAAAAATTCCTGTCAAAATATAGGTATTGTTTATTGCATTTTTGTCTGGAAAGTGAAAAATTGAGTGAGTGCGTCTCTTCTGCAGGCTGCAGTGCTCACGGATAGAATCTAAGAGAGAGTTGATGTCAGAAGAGAATCAGTTAAGAGTGGGGCACAAGAAGGTGCTAGCCTGAGTGCTTCCCCCTATTCCCCAACCGTACCCTGGTCAGAGTGCAAATAAATCAGCCTGTCAGCATGCATGAAGCAGAACGGCCCACTGGGTGGGGGGGAACAAACACAGGTCACTAAGCGTGACTGTGCGAGAGCTAGCAACAAACCTCAACAGTAAAGTCCCACATGTTTGAAACCTGATGACCCCTGACGTGTCTACAGGGAAAGTTGGAAAGGCACGCACAAGTTTACACACTGATTTAAATGCAAAGTTACAGGAAAAACACAAAAGTGCTGGACTTGTCGAGTTGTGACTCTGAGTTTAGAATACATGCTACGTCACACACATTTTGCAGCGGAGTTTGTGCAGATGATACGAGTTTGAGTGAGTGAATTTGTTTCCGCTCCCCCTCCATCATTCCCTTTGCTCTCAATGCTTGGTGAGTATTAAGGTGCAGTCACAATTACCATTTTCAAAGGTGAAGTTTCAATAGGAATCTAAACGAATGGGAATTTCGCATGAGGCTGAAAGATTTCTGTACACAGTTTTCACATTATGTTCAGTTGGTCATGCAAATTCGTCACACTGACCAACAAAAAGCTTCTTGGTTTGGTGACTTTTGTGCGCTGTGCTTCATACAGTCCATTGCTACATTATTAGCAATAGACAATACTCCTTATTTGACCTTGTGTGACCACACCTTTATGGCAATAATTCAGTATCAAAGTATACATCAAAGTACACTCTTAAAAATAAAGGTTCCGAAAGGGGGTTTACTCAGCAGTTCCATAGGAGACTAATTTTGGGTTCCCAAAAGAACCTTTCAGTAAACAGTTTACATTCACATTTTAATAATCTAAAGAACATCTTTCCACTGTAAAAAACCTTTTGTTCAATGGAAATGATGTTAAAGGTTCTTCATAGAACCATAGATTCCATAAAGAACCTTTTTTGTACTGTGTACTATGGTTTTACCTTCTGATACCATGGCAGTACCACGGTTCCGCTACAGGGATCAGAGCTGTAAACAGATATTC